AGCCAGTTCAGTGCAAATCAGCTAACAAACGGTAGAGATTCAACCTTGCATACAAAATGCACTGGATGTATTTGAAGTTTGGACCATGTATGCAAGTGCATGCCGTGAGGGCTATTGCGCACGTACGGTGCGTGAGCGCACATGATCCGTGTGGTGCATGGGCACGTAAGGCGCACGAGCATGAAAATAAAGAACCAAGCTGGGAGAGTAATGTCGCCACCAAACGGTCAAGACTGATGTCCCAGACACCTATTTGAGGCTATTCCTGATGCTCAACAAAAAATCTCTTCCTTAGGTAGTACACCTTTCTGCATCTATGAAAACAGCAAAAAAAAAAAAAAAGGCAGAAGTTGTTGCTGGTGCGGTGCATGGGCAGGTTCTGCACGTCGCGCGGCACACTGCACCACACGACCGTGTCGCTTGTGCGGTTGCAAAGTATGATTCAAACTTACAGACAGCACATTCCCAAATCATTCAGGCACAGACTTGCCTCTCACCATTAGGAACGGAAGAGCCAAGGTATTAACCACTGCGTGATTCTATCACGGGTCAGTAGAGAGAAGCGCCTAAGCCTCAAAGAAGGTATTAACTGCCTGCCATATGCCTCCATTATTGGCCAGTAGAGATGTAATCGCCAGAGCCTGAATGAAAGAGAAATTAATTGCCACATGCTTACAGCAAATGAGGGGGAAATGGAAGAGAGAGAGAGAGAGAGAGAGAGAGAGAGAGAGGAAGAAAAACCGTGCTTGCAGAATGGAGTGGAAGACAGAAGCAGGATGTCAGCCCTTTCTTCTCCGGAAGGATAGGAAGTTATGCACCAACATCAGCATCATGCAAGGAATATGAGTGTGAACGATATACAGAAGACCAAGTTGCGAAATCACAAAGATGCTCAAGTAGTCGTGTTCAAGCAGAGAGCACAATTGCATGGAGAATCCATCCAAATAGAGCGATACAATGAAGTAATGACCCAATGTTCAAGCCCTCAGGCCACACCAACACAGTATCCAAAGTCTCTCCTCTCTGTCTGGCGACCAGCGCCCGACCTACTCTACTCGGTTATCCTACCTACAGCTTTGTTCACGCAACAGGCTCACTTCGACTCCCGAAGACCAATGTACATGATGTCAACACCATAGCCGACCTCTTCATGCACCAGGTACGTATCTCGTCACCCTCACCAGACCTTGATAACCCACACTCGCATCGTGTCCTGAAGACCACCAGATTGCCCCCTCTTACCCCCTAGCTCACAGCAGCCCGGCTATGGCTGCCAGCGCACTGCTGCCCTGCAGCGCCCCACTTCACCTCAACGTGCCCCGCCAGCGCCCTGGCCGCAGCGACGCAGCGTGACCGCATTGCCTACGCGGGCTCGAATACCCGTCCTGGGCTGCCCTACTTCCTATATGGAAGTGGCAGCCTCCTGGATGCTGCGTGTGGCCTGGCAGGAAGCTTCCAGTAGCTTCCGGTTGGGCCTCAGTTCCTGTGCCCAGGCCTGAGACTACAGTTGAGGGCCTGGGCCCTTTACAGTTGGGCACGGCCTGTAGTCTCAGGACTTGGGACGATTGCTGCATTTGTGCAGGCCCCCAGGGTAGGTGCATCGACAGTATTGCTTTTGCATAGGCCGATGGCCACTTCATGATGTATCGGCCTTGCTTTGTGTGCATGTGCCCAGGTGCAACTGCCAGGGCCTGGGCCAACTGTACGACGCAGCTTAATGAGGCTCACGCTTCCACTCAACCAACTGGCGGGCTACAACAGCCTGAATACCCATGTATGAAAATGTCAAATTTCGGTCTCTGATGAATATTCAGGCCCGCCTTCACTTAGGGTGGGCACTTGGCTTGCTGGGGGCCTATGCCGAGAAAATGTGTTTGCGCGATAAGGGCCTTTGTGAGGGCTCGTTCCTCTCATTTCATCCCCCTTAGCTTCGAAAGTCCCCTTTTAGTTTCTTCTCGTACTCAGCCACGATCTGAGGAGCAGTCTTGACTAGTTCCTCCCTTGTAAACCATCGATATTCCTTGGGATCCGTATGATGCCTGAACCGTACTCTGTACTCCCTTGCAGGTTTAGGCGGTCTACCCCTGCCAGCTGGTTTGGGAACAGGTATGTCTTTGTGTTCCAGGATATCGTCGACGTCCATGTGGCCGTCCATGTGGCCATCCATGGTTGGGGGCAGCATAGAACTGTTCTGTCTCAGAGAAAGGAGTGAGCTTTGAGGCATGAAAAACAGGGTAAGTGCGTAAGTGACCAGGGATACGAATAACGTACGAGGGACCATCCATTTCACTAACCACAATATCCAGGACTTCCCAGGGACCGAAATACTGAGGCATTAGTTTCCTAGAGATGCCAAACTCCCGTCCCAGTTCACTAGCCTTAACCCAGACTCGTTCCCCTACCTGAAATGAGGACTGTCGGCGACATTTGTTCTCAGAAGCAATCATTGCTTCCTGAGACTTTTTGATGTTCTCGACAGCTTGCTGCAATGGTTCCAGGCGTTGCAGCAGGTCGGTTTTCAGGAAGGAGGAAGTCTAGTGCAGATCTAGGCTTCCACCCAAAATGCAGCTGATTCGGGGTGAACCCGGTGGTGCCGTGTACAGCGTTACTGTACAAACTGGCGATGAGAGGTAACTTCTCATCCCAGTCATCTTGGCTGGGCTTAATATAATGCCTCAGCAGATGCTGCACCACCTGGTTCATCTGTTCAACCGGCCCGTTGGCTTCGGGATGATTCCCAGAAGTCATTTGGAGCTGGCTGCCCATCTGTTCAGCGGCCTTCTTCCACATCTCACTGGTGAAACGCACATCTCTATCACTAACGATCGTCTTTGGCAGCCCAAAGTCACGCAACCAGTTATCCATGAATAACTTGATGACGTGTTCAGTCCTGGCGGTCTTCGGCATTGCTATTAGTCTAGCAAACTTAGTGAACCTATCGACTATGACGAAGATGTGCCTTTTGCCATTCTTGCTGGTCACGAGAGTATCCATGAAGTCCATGGAGATACTGTCGTGGGCCAGCAGGAATGGGTAGAGGCTTGAGTAATCCAAGCGGAGCTTGAGTTCGCGGCTTGTCCCGCTGACAGACCTGACATGTCTGTACGTACTTCTTTACATCATCCAGCATGTTAGGCCACCAAAATCCCTGTACTAAATTAGCACTAGTCTTCTTATAGCTGAAATGTCCCATTGCGTCGTGGCACTCACCTAGAAATAAACTACGCAAAATCTCCCTAGATGGAACAACTAACCTTTTAAACCATGCCTTCGCAAGAAAGAGTAACCCATCCACCATCACAAACTCGTTAGTGATGGACTTGTCTTTGGCCTTCAGTTTGTCGATGATGTCCATTCGTGATAGGGTCTTCCTTGTAGGCTTCCCCCAAGGATCGAGTAACGTCCTCAGAAATGCCAAACTCATAAATTAGCGCACCTAGATTATCTGCCCTGTGAGACAACACATCTGCAACCTTGTTGTACTCTCCTTTCACATAGTCTAGTTTGAAATCATACTGATCTATGACTTCAATCCCGCATTTGAGTGCATCCGAGAGAACTGGTTGTGTCTTTATCCACTTGAGGGTCTGATGGTGAGTTCTCAAATAGAAGAAGCCTCCAGTGAACAAGTGCCTTGGGCATAGAGTGCCCTCTCGTAGGTGGACTTTGCCAACTTCTTTGATGGCATCTTTTTGCTCATATACTCAACCGGTCTCACATTTTTCCCTTCCTGCCGAGCCAGCACTGTGTCGATGCCGTATTGGCTTGCGTAAGTGGTTACTACAAACGGCCTTTGCAGGTCAGATACCATGAGAACCTCATGATGCGTGAGTGAGCGCATGCTTCAAACACTTGAAAGTTGCCTCACACTCGCCGGTCCAGTCCCATGGCGTATCAAGTCGAGTTAGATCAGTCAAGGGAGATGTGATCGTGCTATATTTCTTTACGAAAATGCAGTAATAACCATACATTCCCAAGAATGATCTGACCTCAGTCACAGACTGGGGTCGTGGCCGGACGTATGTTAAATTCACATTTCTCTGCGTTTATCTTATACTTATGCTGTCAAAGGAGTGAATGTATCTTGTCTACGTGCTGAGCATGCTCCTCGACAGTCTTACTAAAGATATGTTATC